AATAAAGCCCAACATTGGATACGAGGTGACGTCATGTGGTTTATGCCTTCCACCTCACCAATCAGGGTTAACAGAGGCTTGTGGTCAGTAGAGTTCGAATTTTCTTCCCCACAAATACTGGTGGAATTTCTTGACTCCAAAGATAACCGAAAAAGCTTCGCTGTCCAGCCGCACACAGTTCTTTTCCGTTGACGCAAAAGGTATTGGTCGCTCAGTCATATCTTTCATTTGGGTGCCGCATCGCAACGAAGAGCGAGCAGCATTTTTGGGTCAAAATGCATTAGCAAGTTAGCGTTACTGATAGCCAACCTGACAGCATTGTAAGCTTTTCTTGTTCATTGGACCAGAGCCACCTGGTATTCTTACGAAGCAAAGTTTACAATGGTGCGTGGAGACTAGCTAAATTAGGTGAGAAACGACTGTAATGGGTTGCAATTCCAAGAAATTATGGCAGTTGGGTAATATTTCGGGGTGTCGGAGAATCCAGAATGGGTTATTTTTTCCCGTAGGGGATGTAACCCGTATTTGTCCAAATGAAACCTTAGATAGTCGACGATATCACAAAAGATATTTAGATTCCTTGAGTTTCAGTCCATTCTCCTGAAGGCGATTCAAGACTGTTGCAAGTGGTGTCACATGCTCGTTGTCGATACGAACAGTATCTAAAACGTCGTCCAAGTATGCGCAAACTCCGGGTATCTCCTTCACTAAGTTGTCGATAAGCCACTGAAAGATCACCTGCGCGGAATGTATTCCGAATGGTAACCGGTAATAGCAGAATAATCCCATGTATGTATTGATGGTGGTAAGGTACTTTAAGTTGTGCCCCATGCTGAGGCTGATGTTGCATTCTTGATGCTTCTACACCGCAGTTGGGCTAAACCAACATACACTTAAACTAGGTCTTATGAAGCTGGATAAATTTCATTCCGCTTTATTTGGTTTGTTCTGCCTCCCTGAATAATGTTCTATTAACTGGCCACGTTGCTTACACTAATTGCGCTTATCTTCGGTAATTTTGTTGCGTTTTGTAGCATTTTTAAGTAACTTGTGGACATTTCTTACTTATCACGGATTTGTTGTTAACGCACTTACTTCATATGGTAAATTAGCGAAGAGTTATGCCACCGTATCTTTATGCATTGTTGGATTTATTTTATTTCAACTTGTCGTTTAAAGTGAATGGCTGTTGTTTGATATCCCTGGTATGGTTGCGCTTGATGTGCATGTTGACAAGGTGCCTACCTGTCTATTACCCACTACCTCGTCCATACTGGCTCCAGGAGACAGTTGGTCGTTGCTGGAGGGGACGGGGTGCACGGTTCTTGTGGCCGTGCTAGGCTCAAAGAGCGGTTCCATGCACTCAGTGTGGAGCGGACTACGGTCCAGCCACCGCCTTGTGTGCGCGCTTGATTCCCCAAATACAGCGTGCTTGTGTTTGCCTGTGAAGGAGTGTGGGCCGGCTCCGTTGATGAAACGTGGTTCCCATCCGCATGCCTCCCGGTCTTATTCCTTCGGGTTTACACTGGATATGGGGTATGTGGTTGGAGCTGTGGGTGGTGCAGCGCAAGCCATCCATGGTCCCTCTGTAGGCGCAGGCGTCCTGTGGCTTGCCACAGTGACAGGCAAATCCGAAACCGGATGCCGCCAACCAAGTTACTTTAAGTGCCAAATGCTGAGGCTGATATTGCATTCATGATGCTTCTTCACCGCAGGTGGGTTAAACCAACTTACAGTTAAACTAGGTGTTTTTAAGCTGGATAAATTTCATTCCACTTTAATTGGTTTGTTCTGCTTCCCTGAATAAGCGTCTATTAACTTGCACACGTTGCTTAGGTCAATTGCGCTTATCTCTGTTAACTTTATTGCGTTTGTAGTAAAATTCGTTGCTACCCAACTTAGTTCACCTTCTAAGTTAAGAAGAGTTATGTTGGCATAGCCATAGTTATAACCGATATATTTTATTAGCTGATGCTGTTTCAAGTGATTTTCTGTTGTTTGACATCCCCAGAGTGGCTACGCTTGATGTGCAAGTTGACAAGGTGCCTAGCTGCCTATTACCCATTACCTCGTCCATACTGGCTCCAGGAGACAGTTAATCGTTGCTGGAGGGGACGGGGTGCACGGTCCTTGTGGTCCTGCTAGGCTCAAAGAGTGGTTCCATGCACTCAGTGTGGAACGGACCAGGATCCAACCACTGCATTGTGTGCGGTGGATTCCCCAAATATAGCGTGCTTGTGTTTGCCTGTGAAAGAGTGTGGGCCGGTTCCGTTGATGAAACGTGGCTCCCATCCACATGCCTCCCGGTCTTGTTCCTTCGGGTTTACACTGGATATGGGGTATGTGGTTGAAGATGTGAGTCGTGCAGCGCAAGCCACCCATGGTCCCTCTGTAGGTGACAGACAAATCCGAAACCGGATGCCACCAACGAAGTTACTTTGAGGATTCCTGTACCTCCATTTGATAATAAGCACGGTTTAGATCAGGTTTCGAGAACTTTTGTCGACCCGACAAAGTTGCGTAAAGGTATTCTATCCGCGGAATCGGACAATGTTCCGTCGTCATCGCTTGGGTAACCGTCAGTTTATAGTCGCCACAAATGCGAACTGAGCCATCAGGCTTCGGTACAGGAATGAAGGTTGCAGCTCAGCAAGAGTGGCGTACGGGTAAAATAATTCTGTGCTTTTGCAAGCGGTCCAAAATTAGGTTCGGAGGGATTGCGAAAGGTAGACTTCGTGCCTCGTAAAATTGCGGTTGGGTGTGTGGCTTGATATTCAAGCAAGCTTTGAAATCACGTAATTTCGCAGATATGTTTGTATGAAGAACATTGGCAAAACTTTCACGAGTGTAGGTGAGTCAGAAATACTGCCCACTATCTTAAGAGATTGTAATATTTCCGGCATGTACTTTAACCAGTTCCTCCCTAGTAGGTTCGGTCAGTCTGTGTAAACAACGATTAGAGGAAGAGTCAACGTATTGTCCCCATAATTAGTTTCACATCGCACGTCCAAAACATCGAGTATTTCCCCAGTGTATGATTATAATTTGGATTGAGTCGGAGTCAGAACCAAGTCGGTTAAAGTTCGGGTGTTGATTATTGTAACATGAACCACAGTATCGATCTCCGGACGTAGTTGCCTGCCTTCAATGTCTAGATCAACAGTGTACGGGGGCATTCCCATTGCGTGCGATGCAGTTGTGTACGGAATTAGGTAGAAAAGGGGATCGTCAGCGTTTTCCACAGGTCGAATAGGACCTTGCGCAGGGCGGAGTATCGGTCATTGAAACACAGTCGAATGGCACACGCGTGCAATATGTCCGACCTTTCCGCACTTGTGACAAGTAGACTGTTTGTGTCTGCAATCAGTAACCTTTACATACTTCTCGCCAAATCGGTAGCAGGTAAAGTAACATTTGTTGATAGGTGATAGTCGAAATTTAACCGCATAGACGGCATCCGAAGGAGAATCGTTTCGATAATGAGTTGATTGTTGCGTAACGCTTTTCCTTTGTCTGACCAGTGCGTAGGATGTTTCCCAAGTAAGTTAATTTTCGTCTTCGGACAGCAGATGTACTCTAACTTTATCGTCTCGAATACCAAGCAAAAGGCGTTGCATCACCATCGTCTCTTCGAAGCTCGTTGCGGGAATTTCCTTGTAACGGCAGTCAGGAAGGGACTATTGTATACGACTGATGAATTCATTAACAACCTCTTTTACCTGTCGTAACTGAGAAAAACTTATGCGCGCCGTAAAAACATGTCGCTGCGGTCCCCAAAGGCCATTCAGGACGTTAAAGCAGTCCGTCAGGGTTGGGCTTTCGTACAAACGCAACGCATCAAAATGCCGTCGACTTTCTACACCTAGGTGCTGTCACAGTAATTGGATAGATTGGGTTTCACTAAGTTTGATGTGGGGGTAATTGCGAAAATCTTAAGGTAGTCACAGAAGGTTCATTTTCAACGATTCCAAACTGCTAAGAATGGCTTGTATGACGTGTCCTTCCAAAAAGGATCAAGCGGGGTAAGATGGCTCATAGTAAATAATTCCAAGTTTAACCTTCGTCGAAAGATGTCAGCGTTTAGCAATTGCGGAACTAACGCACAGTGGCTGGCTCGTAGCTAAAGCAAGCAGAACTGTATTCTACTACTTCGCATGTTGTCCAACGCATTTAAATTAGGCCGATTGACACACGCCAACAGATGCAGGTAACGAGTAGAAAGAGCTCAGTTCATTGTCTGTGAGGATGCCACAGTTAGCAACACTGACACTACCTAACGATAGGTAGCTTAAGCAATGAAAAATATAGTCTACCTGACATGAAGCCTTCTAGTGTCACACTCGAGTGTTTACTGAATTCTAGTCGCTTGCGATGGCTAGGTCATGTCCTCCATATACATGTTGATCGGCTTCCTCGGCACGCATTATATGCCGTGGCCGAACCAAATTGGACAAAACCGCGAGGTGGACAGTCCATGACATGGCATAGAAGCTTGAAGAAATTGCCCGAGACTTGATCAGGCTGGTGCGTGTCGTCTTCCTGGATGGGGGTCTCTGGATAGTCCACGCCAATAGTTGGAGACCGTATCAAGCATGGAACAGTCACGAAGTTAGTTGTGTTCTTGCATTCGGCTTTGTCTATTTGGTTGTTAATTTTCTTTCCATGCTGATTAGTCTAACGCATTTCATCCTTGCTTTCAGTTTCTCTACATTCGATTTGCATTCAATCCCACGATATGACAGTTGTTATTTATCGTCATTTTAGCGATGTGAGTCGTGGTAACTGGATCCACCGCATTTCGGTGCTCGGATCATTGACGTTCAACTGTGCTGAACAGAACGTGTGGGGTCACGTAGGAAGGTTGAGCGAAAAGGCTGATGCTCATATAAAATGTGAGTTATTTATAACAGAATCTGAATTCAGAGAAAGAGGTGGCTGCAAAGAATAGAGATGCTGCATAAATGTAATGGAGACATTGCAAAAATAACAAAACTAACTCGTGTATGTACAAAAATATATTATGCGCATCTTGAAATCAATGCACAAACAGGACCAACTACCATTAACTAAATAACAGTGCTCCAAAAAATAAGAGAAATTAATGTGGCTTTGGAACATGACCATCGACGTAGAAGTTTCGAGTTGCCTTGGGTAGTGTGATCGTCATACCATCCAGCTCTTTTGTTAAAATGATTTGACAGGCTACAGAAAGAAATGAAGCCAAAAGTAAAAAAGTACTTGAAAGTGCCTCTCTGTAGATGTTCCAGTGTAGCAAATAGAAAAGCCTAAGCAACCCAGTGAAACCAGTTTATACTCTGAGAATGCACCAACGTGAACAAAACAATGAGGATGACCAAGGTGTCGACCTACTAACTGCTTCCAAGGACTTGAATTCACTAAGTCGGTGAAGGATACTTACCAAAATGAGACGAACGCCAGTGTGGAGACAATGGAGAAAGAGTGTAACTAGAAACCATAAGTGTGCCTAAAATAAACCACTCATAAGCGCGTTGGGGGGCTAAAACGGGAGGTTTCATGTAAGAAAACATCAAGTTTCAAAAAAACTTAGTGAAGAAAATGTCTTTTAAGAGCTGGAAATAAGGTAAATACGCGGAAATAAAGTAAGAGACAGTAAGAAAGGGATAGTAAAACATTGCTCAGCAACATTGTGGAAACATGCAGTCAGAAGCATCAACAGCTCTATAGTTTGAGGATTTAGTCTAAGGCGGGAATCAATTTGTGTCTAATGAGGCTATCAAAGTTTCTATGTCGTGCCAAAACGCTACACAAAAGGACTTAGAAAACTTCTACTAAGGCCGACGCCACTGCAACCAGGACAATTCAACCTGCACTGTGAAAGCGCTTGTCTTCGTGGCCATGATTTCACCGTGGGCGCGGTTCCTCTGGTTTACGTATGGTGATTCACTTGTCTCTGTCACCCCATCGGACGGAGGAACCGTTGTGGTTTTTGGGCATACATGTGTGTGTCTGTGTGTGACTATCATTATCGACTGGAGAGTCGGATCGACGAACAGTGCAGCCTGTTTCAAGTTGACCAACCCTAGTCTAGCTTCCCTAGAATATTGCAATGTTTTAAACGAAATAGGAGCTTAGCGTAGTGGGATGATTTGCGTACTCACGCTACCCATTGAGGTATGCTGGGTGGCACTTTGAAAGTGCCTTCAGAGCCACCTATATCAGACAGGTCAATGGTTAGAAGTCAGACTAACTTAGCCTCACAATCCAATCCTCTTCGGAAGTTAGGGGGAGGTCGATGAACTTCTTTCCTTTAAAACCCAATCTTGGGAGGAAACACGTATACGGGTTATAAGCTCACAGCTCAAGTGGCGTAGAGCACGAGTGCCACGCATTGTCGCTGACGGTGGGCGCTCAACCGTTTGTTATCGCTTGCCTCAATCCAGGTAGCCCCTGGTCAAATTGGTGCAAACGCGTCAACCCTCAGCTGCGGCTGGCCGTGGTCGCAAGTGCGTAAAGTAATAAGGTCGGAAAATACATGTGAATTGTCCCAAATCCTCAAAGGCTGTATGTAACAGGCTTCGAGCGGATTCCAGCAGATCTCTGTAATCACACTCCCGAGCTGGGCTTCCTCCCCACTGGCTTGTAGGTCAGGCTATTGAGCCAAAAACTCCGGGTGGCCCCCCAAGCTAACCTCCAAATCTCCCACTGCCTTGTGGGTCCGACTTGAATCAGAGGCTAGAGGTAGGGCACCTCAAACGAAATCTCTCTCGGAATGGGCAGACGGAGAGTAGCATTTGCCCTCTCGACCACGTGGACAATACTCTCACTTCTTATTTGTCTCTCCCCTCTCAACTCTCTTCCCTATCTATTAAGCAAGAATCTGCCTTTGATCTCGCTGCTGTTGCCATCGATACTCGTCCATCAAATCACGAGTCTCATTTCACATTGGTTCTTGGAACGTCCGCACTTTGGGTCAGATCGGTCAAAAGGTAGCACTGACTCTCACTCTTCACTCTCTTGGTAATGATGTGTTGTGTCTCCGAAATACCCATACAAGATAACAGCGCTGTGACGAATCTTCGACTCCCTGGTTCTGAATCTGACGACGATTGATACATACTTCGCGTCTCTAGTGATAAGGAATCAATGGCTCAAGGTATTTACGATGTTAGTATCGCCCTCAGCAGACATGCTGAAGGCAATCTACGCGACTGGATACCGATGAACATCTGCATGTGTGCGGTTCGACTTCGAACCTCTATTGGGGTTAATAAGCACCGTATAAAAAAGGTGCCTTTTCATCGTCTCCGTTTATGCTCCTACTAACTGCAGTTCAGAAGGCATTAAAGATGATTACTACAATCTTTCATCCCTTCTCCGCATGGTGAAGAATACCGATATCATGATTGTTGTTGGTGACGTGTATGCGTGTGTCGTCTTTCAGACTCAGAAAGGAACCTGGGGGGCCAATTCGGAGTCGTACACTGAACAATGGTGATCGACACCTGTAACGGTGCGCCGACCACAACCTCTACCTCAGCAGCACTGCTTTGCAGCACAAACGTTCATACCGCGTCACCTGGTGCTCATCTAATTCCTAAACGACCCGGACCCAAATTGACCGTATTATCATCCACTACATGTGACGCACATCAGTCCAAGACTGTCGGCCAATGTGAAGCGGATGCCTGGATTCCAAAAATGCTCTAGTCCGCGCAGGCTTGGCGCTTACTCTACCGACTTCAAAGAAGCGCCCATCTTCTAGTCTTCTTGCCTGTAACTTGAACTCGCAGTCTGACGTTCAACAATATCATAACTGGCCCATCATTAGTCAGTGATGAATGAGGTTGATGAGTCGAACGCTGACTGGAATCGTCTCAAGTGGAACATGAAGAATACGTTTGACGCTTGCTATGCACCAGACTTGAGAAGTCGTGACTGTGAATGGATATCTGAGGCACCGATCAGTTTGATCGAAGCGAGTAAATGGGTTCCGAAGGGAACTGTAACTCCCTAAAACGAAGTCTGACAAGGAGTCTCCGAGTTGGCCGAGAACGTTGCTGAATTGTAAAGGCCCGTGAGATGGAGAAAGCCGGCGCTATTGGAAACAGCTGTGTGCTGTTCCAGCTCATCCGGAACGCGGATCAAAGAAAGAGATCAATTAGAAAGACAATAGCTGACAATTGATCCATTCTCAGCGTCCTACACTAGATTGTTGGAACATTTTGAGGAGCTGTTCAGCAGGTCTGCTGCGACACTGCGGCTTACCGAATCATTTGAGCCGACGTGGAAAGTAGATGTCATAGCTGCTACTTTGAAAAAGATTCGACACGAGTTCGCTGTGTTAAAATGAAAGGAGGCTCCTGTACTCGATGACATTCCACCATCTTTTCTGAAAGATAGTGGTGATTTTGTTGAGTTGACTTACATCACTTTTCAAAATAAATTAAGACACTGAAGAAATACCTTCAGACTGACGAGTAACAACTGTCGTGCCCATTTTCAAGAAGGGTTAGCAGACTTTGTGCGAAAATCATCGAAGCATTTGCCTTATTTTCATTGCCTCAAAACTTCTCACGGGTATCATTCATCGACGACATACCAGTCCATGTGAAGACCGAATCACTGATCGCCAGGCTGGCTTCTACCCTGACCGTGGTTGCATCGATAACATACATACTATTCGTTAAGTTTTAGAGCAGAAACATACATATGGATGACCGACTATGGTCGTTTTCCCTGACTTGAAAGCCGCCTTCGACTCGGTTGACCGCGCCAACTTGTGGCACTGCCTATCCACGAAGAACGTGTCAGCTAAATTCTTCTCCATTCTAAAGCCACTCTACTGTGACTCCAGAGGAAGTGTAAGGGTCTACTGAAAACTCTCTCCTGGGTTCCTCACGACAAGTGGGGAACGCCAGGATTGTCCTGTATCTCCTTTCCTCGTCAACTTTGTGATCGAAATGATCATGAATGAGTCAGTTCTTTCAGGTTATTCTGAAGTTCTGCCAGGCGACCAACTGACAAACCTGGAGTATGCGGATGAGTTAGTTCTACGTAGGTGATGCAGTGGCTATACAAACACTACTGCAGAGACTTGTGCGTAGCGCTGCACGCTTCGGCATGTACTTTGCAACTTCAAAGTGCTGTTACAAGACTGGACTGACAAATCTGCAGCTCTAACTGTCACAGAAACAGCCACTGGAAGTGGTGGATCGGTTCATTTACCTTGGTAGCTGTGTCGCCTCTGGTGGATATATTAGTGAATAGACTAGTTCACGTATCATCAAGACCCGAGTGGTTCTCCAGAGGTACAACCATCTATGGAGACGGCAGAATGTCAGTGAAAGGCAGGGTGCACAACTCTGCGAAAAGGCCTGTGTTACTGAATGACTCAGAGAGCTGGCCAGTTTGCAGTGAAGAGATTAAACGCTTGGCCGTATTTGACCACTGGTGCTTGCGGAGTATTGTTCACATTTGGCGGGAACACCGGGTGAGCAATGCAATGATGATTAAAGGTCCGAATGCACTTGCGATCTATCGCTGCAGCGAACGCCCTCCCACATCAGACTCCTAAATAAATATAGCGATTAAGACAAAGGTAAATCTTCTTCAAGCGGCAAAATTGTTGTCGATTTATGATGGGGGTTCGGATTTTACAATGTGTGTACCAATTTCAATAAGTATGCGTCCAACAGTCCCGAACAATCTCTCAAAGCGGACAAAACGACCAAATAACACTATTTCCATGGTATTAAGAATTGTAGATGTAACTGTCAGTGGTTTTCAAAGGCTAATGTAAACTTTGGAGGTGCAAAAAGCACGTCAAAGAGGCATTAGCTGTGCTAGGTCACTGTTAGCAGATGGCAAAGCAATGTAGAACGCACAGACCGATTCAAGGTTTCCCAGAGGACAAAGTTTGAATAAATGCATTGTGAGACTTCACAAGAGAACACTACTAAGATAGAAGTGAACATAAATGGAAGAATGGAGCAACCCTGGAGAGAATCAATTGTCTGAAAGGTGATTGAGAATTATGCCGCAGATTTTGACACGGCTTGCGGCTTTCCAGATAGCAAGCAATAAGGGCCATTTAAATCAGACTCAGGTGCTGATTACTAGACGCATTCAGGATGAACACAGTCAGAAAGAAACTGTACGAATACTGTGAAGCTAGCAGATGGAAAGAGAAATAGAAGTGCATGGCGAGTGAGCTGAACCAGAGTAATTGCAACTGTCAGTAAGAGATATGTGATCGCCCGGTAGTGGGTACCGAATGATTACAGTGCACTCAAATAACGTAATCGAGGTGAGAGAACCACGGACAGTTTGTCACTAGGCTAGATAAATGGGCTATGCATTTTTGATGAGAGTACGGGTGCAAAATCGTGTGATGAATTGCCAGTGCTGAATGCTACGCAAGGTAGTGTTAGGTGGGGAACACACAAGCCCTGTAACTCAATCAAGAATGCGGCGCGGCATAAAACTGCAGTGCGTATGTTAAAAGGTATGCCAACTCATTACGAAAATGGGAAGTTAACATCATCTGAATATGTGCGAGGACTTACATAAACGAGAGTTGTCTTTAAGGAATACCGCCATGTCCAGCATATCTTCTTCTGCCTCCACTGGCGCAGGAAGTAGGTCAAAATAAGGACTTTCGACATACACGTGGCAAGTAGAACAAGCTAAAGAGGCCTCACAAGCGCCCTCAATCTCCACTTGGTATCGATGGGCTAGGTACATGAGGTTATCGCCCACCTTTCCTTTCATAGTGGATTTAGTTCCGTCACGATCAACAACCGAAACATTGACTCTGAGAAGATCATGACCTCAGACTAGAACTCAAAGTTACACGTCATCCGGATTTTCCGGATCCTTATATTCGAAATCACCATGATGAAGATCACCTTGGTAAAGTGTCAGGTATTAAAAAATTAGACATACCAGTAAAATGGAAAGCTCTTTTCAAAAATTGAGCATAGGCTGAGGTTAACCAGTGTGACGCACTGCTTGGAAAGCGCGTAAGCATACGAACAGATAGGGTTGGTACGATTCTAGCCGACCTAAAAAATTACGGAGATGTCCTGAAAAGTGAATGGCAGTTCAACTATGATACGTCCAGTTCAAAACAAATGAGATGCACATCAGGTTCCAAGTGAGACGTTTTGATTAATAACATTATTCTCATTTGAGCAAGGTAAAGACGTGAAGCAAAGAAATGATACCAACTTGCGATAAGAAGCACGGAATCTCAGAAGTGTTCTTCCACCAGCCGCATATAAGTACATCGGTAACTTGGGCTAAACCAACTTACACTTAAAATAGGTCTTTTTAATTGGGATAAAATTCATTACACTTTATTTCGTTTGTTCTGCGTACCTGATAATCTTCTAATTTGCACACGTCACTCATGCTAATTGTGGTAAACTTGCGTACTCTTATCGCGCGGTATATTTTAAATAACTTTCGGACATTTTGTACCAATCGCGGATTCACTTATAACCAATTTCTTCTATATGCTTATTTAGTGAGTATTTATGTCGTCATATGCGTTTACTTTAGTCGATGTCGGCATTTCGAATGATTGGCTGTTGTTTGATACCCCAGGTACGGCTGCGCTTGATGCACATGTTGACAAGGTGCCTACCTGTCTATTACCCACTACCTCGTCCATACTGGCTCCAGGAGACAGTTGGCCGTTGTTGCAGGGGCCGGGGTGCACGGTCCTTGTGGCCGTGTTAGGATCCAAGAGTGGTTCCATGCACTCAGTGTGGAGCGGACTACGGTCCAGCCATCGAATTGTGTGCAATTGATTCCCCAAATACAGCGTGCTTGTGTTTGCCTGTGAAGGAGTGGGGGCCGGCTCCGTTGATGAAACGTGGCTCCCATCCACATGCCTACCGGTCTTATTCCTTCGGGTTTACACTGGATATGGGGTGTGTGGTTGGAGCTGTGGGTGGTGCAGTGCAAGCCACCCATGGTCCCTCTGTAGGCGCAGGCGTCCTGTGGCTGGCCAGAGTGACAGGCAAATCCAAAACCAGATGCCGCCAACCAACTAGGAACATACTGATGTTGGCTCTCATGCCATAAGGTTCGTTCTAGACCCAACTTGAACCAACAAGGTCTGGATGGAAGAAGGAAAGAGATGAGCAAGCGATGACTTGGTCAAGAGGAGTGAAGGTCTTTACTTCGAAGTTGGATTTATTTGGAGCCTATCGAATGCATGGATAGGGTTCAAAAGAAGATGGACACGTTTTGCTGGATACACTCGTTAACATGGCCAGGCCAGGAGCCTAAGTCAGTGGTGTTGGTGTTGTGAGTTTCCTTCTACAACTCTCCAATCACAACCTTGTTGCCAATCCATAAAAAACGAAGTATAATAATATTTCCGTTTAATTTGTCTTGTTCTAAGTGAATTGCATTGCGACACAATGGCTGGGGTTCTTCTCATCCTTAGCTAATGTGTGAAATAATGATTATGATCTGAAAACCTAATAATTGGAGAGGTTGCTCGTCAGCGGTGAGATGCGAACTTCACACTTATCGCTCGTTTAACATAACCTTTCTGTACTTTATTCCGGCCTATAGGCCACACCAGTTTGAAGAATGGGTCGTAACGTTCCGGGATCATACGCTTCTCACTCGTACTCATCGTTCAATTTATTCAACAATAGATCGAATCCTGCGGTACCCCACCCAATAACATAAACTCGGTGGAACAGTTAACCCACTGGTTTGATACGTTACTTATTTTTGGATACTGTCTACTCACTAGCATTCAGTAAGTTGGGGATTCTGGCGAACTATGGGTCCTCTGATGTATACGACTACATTAGAGTGCACAACCTAAGAAGTCGACACATAAACTAGGAGAACTATACATAACAGACCGAAAAAGGAGATCTTTGTGAGTCATGCTCTAGCTACTAGTAAGCAACAAGTGGACGATATTCGGGGCAGCTTCACTATGAAATTGAAATCACTGGCCCAGGATTGTAACTTCAAAACGGTCATGAAAAAGAAGAACCGCAAAAACACCATGCGAAATGCGTTCGTAACTGGGCTTCAAACTCAAGCTGTATGTCAACGTCTCTTGAAAAATGAATAACGATCTACATGGCGTTTTTAAACAAACTGGATCTTTCTAGACGGCCTATCGTCAGTCACAGTTACGCCAGTCAGAGAGCGCTTATGGTGCAACTACCGCTTGCCAATCAAAACCTTTGCAAGCGTCAAGTGTCTCAAAAGTCCAAGGTAAAAATGTCGCCGCTACTATACGAGTAGGAAATATTTCATCTGCGGATTCAACAGACAGTCGGTTTCAACGCCCTGCGCGCGACGTTATTTGTAACTTGTAGAAAGAGAGGATATTACCAGAAGGTTTGACGTTAATAATGCCAAAACAATGCTCCGGTGCTTCATAGTTGTCTATCCACTCACGGTCGCAGCGGCATCAAACGGCCCTCCCTTGCCATCATTGATGTACTCCTCAACAAGGTTCCTTTAAAAGTTTTGTGTTATACCGGAAGCACTGAGTTACATAGCCGCATCGGCTATAAAACGGTCCGACTAGAACATCAATCGGTTCCCATGGTTAAATTGCGATGCTAAGCACTCAACAAGTTCCATCAGTGGTCAATAACTTGTCACTATGCAGTCACACGGAAGTTAAAAGGACAGTACTCAGATCTTGTTTAGATGTACTCTTGGGACACGGTATTTTAAGTCTCACCTGTTATGGTCACCAAGGTCGCACCGACCGCCAAGTTACATTTTTTGGTAAACAACCCTCCTCTCCTTGTGTGAACTAATAATAATAACTAGTGGCCACCGATGTGGATCCTCTCTCACTGTTGGGGAATGATGCTTCCACTTACGAACCGATAGCCATAAAATCGAGGCGTTACTCTAATGTGGACGAGACCTTCAGTTATATGGAAGTACAGAAGCTTCTTAAGGACGGAATCCTCGAACCAATGATTACTACTAACGATACATAAAAACTGTATGCCGGCGCATGAACATTCAGCCAACGCCTCCCAATGGGCGCGATTCCCTAAATTCGCCCCGCTACCTTGCGGGTAGGTTATTTAGCCAAAGGCTCGGGGTAGGGTCCCCTAAGTCAACTCCCTACTTCGGCTTGGGCAACCGGGTAGTATCATGCCCCCTCACAAAACCATGGACTGTATTAAAATGTGCTCATCAGCTAGCGTTTCTGCTAGTCACTTGCACGCGACTTCATCATACGCCAATTGTTTGTTTGCTAACAATCCTCACTTTCCGTTACCTGATTCATGTGCTCAACAATTTGGCTACGATTCCGGTTGCATCGCAGGCCAAGGATTTCAACCTATTGCTCTCCATTGTCCCCGATCCTCGTTCCGTCTGGCGTGCTTCAACGTTCGGACACTCATGCAGAATGGACAGCAAGCCGGTCTAACGCGCACCCTAGATTTCCTAGACGTTGATGTCTGCTGTCTTCCAGAAACCCGATTGCAAGATCGCAGCACTGTGCTTACATTGACATCCCCCACTGAGCACGAAGCCAGATATCACCTGCGTCCTTCTGGAGATCCAAAAGCAGCCGATTTGGCTGGTGTAGGTATAGCCCTAAGTGGCAAGGCCGAGGCGGCACTACTGGACTGGTTCCCGATTAACAGCCGACTATGTGCAGTTCGGCTTCGGGGTTCATGTAGAATCAACAGACACCGCGAAGAGAGACACAAGTTGTTTGTGATCTCCGTGTACGCTCCAATCGACTGCATTGGTGACTCGATCAAGGACGAATTCTACCGGGATCTACAACAGCACTTGACTAATGCTTAAAAGTCGGATGTCGTTATGCTTGCCGGGGATTTTTATGCACGGGTTGCCCGCCTGATACCATACGAACGCCGCCTTGGTGGTCATCACGCGCTCGATGAGAACCACTCTGATAACGGAAAGAGACTTCTCACATTGTGCGAAGACAACTGTCTGTTTCTTTCGAGCACTAACTTCAGGCGTACGAAGAAGCGTTCCGCAACGTGGCGTCCCCCTTCTTCAACACAACCGTGGTCTCAAATTGGTCACATTGCAATTAGCCTCAAATGGTGCGGCAGCGTACTAGACTGCAGGTTCTTTTGGTCCACCTTCGTTGACTCAGATCATGCTCTGGTCTGTGCGAAAATCTCTGTGTTTTGGAGGGTCCTGAAACACGAAGCACCGCAAGATTGATGTAAACAGATTCCTCTGTCCAGGCGAGCTATCAGTCTTCACTGGCCACTCAGCACTAAGTGTTCCATGATCTGTGTTGCTGCGTCGTAATGTGAGGTCCACGAAATACGAGTCCTTATTGGATGGGGCTGAACTATTGGATTGCAATCCCCAGTATGTTCAAATTCGAGTTGTAGACGGAAACGAAGATACTGTGTCACTGCGCAACCTGGCACCATCGAGACCGGGTGTGTTTAGTGACCATTCTATTCTATCTCCCGTAGACCCCCAAACGACCTTACACACACACACACACACACGCAAGTGCCCTAAAGTGATTCTATTTATCCATTTGATCCCCGTACCATTTTAAGCGACAGTAAAAAAAACATGAGCATACAATCTGCGTACCCATAAAGCTTAAAACTTTCACTTATCGCCTGGTTCACGATTAGGTGGGGGAGAATGATATGCAACATGCGCAGATATTGCTCGCTTATCGTAATATTTTGGTAATTCACTTCAGGTTACATGCCTTAAATGTCTGCTGAATAAAGCCCATTTATCTCAGGTTTATAATCTCACACGCTTCGTTCATCCTTATGCAGTCTTTAAGGGAGGCTGAAGTTCGGAATATAGCAACCATCGCCTCCAAGTTACTGGCTTCCGTCGTTTTTCACAGACTAGCTGGCACAAATGAAAGCCTGATTCGCGAGGAACAAGCCGGATTTCGTCGAAATCGTGGCTGCATTGACCACATCTTCACTTTGCGCCACTGGTTAGAACATCGCCATATTTATCGGCGACCCACCGTAGTCATGTTTTTCGACATCACAGTTTGCTGTTTTGGACTATCTGCTCACGAAAGGTGCGCTCGAGAAATAGGTAAA